AAACACTTGAGCACCAACTATTTTCAGAATCAGAACCAGATACTTACAGTATCAGTAGTGAATCATATCAAAAAAATCGGAATCTGAAATTAAAAATATTGAAAATATATCCAAAATTATTAATAACAGACCCAACACAAGTCAAGCAGGAACTTTATCAAGTTTAAAAAATATACGGAAAGCAGAAAAAGTAATAAGAACTCCAAAACACAGAAATGAGAAGATGTGGAACAAAAATGTTATTAAAGAAAAATGAAACAGTACAACAGTTATTCTAAAAAAATTATACAAGCAAAAGCTTTTACTATTTTATGTATTTGTAAAAGGAAGTGTAGTAATCATGCTTCTACAAGGGTACAAGAAAGTATTCACTTTAATTCCAAGACGAAAAAAGACGAAAAAACGCGTCCTTAGAAAACCTTGTGATGAGGAACACACTCGAAGTTTCTTTTTCGGTAAGAATAAGGTTTACAAGTCCTAAAAGACTAATCTACCCAAAAATATAAGGCTTGAAGGAAATGCTGCACTATGTGCCACCCTGTCACCACACCTTAGTATGAGAAACAATGCAGCTGAAAATCAAGAGAAGGATTTGTAAGGGGTTTTCTCGCCACAGAGAAAACGATTCTTTACGAATGACGCTGGTTACGGGCGGTTCTCGAGCGCCAGATTGGTGATGGTTTACTCCACGAATTTTCGAAACGGCGTCGAAAGTACTCGGGTAGCTACAGATGGAGATGAAAAATTCCAGGGGTCAAAGGTCACTTAGACACAGGTAATAGTAGGCCACAAGTAACGGGCAGAATTAATCACTAGCTGAAATATAAGGGGGAAATAAATTTAGGAATTAACAACCAGTAATACGGCCAGTTATCATTGACACATATATTGTTTTAAGATATTTACAAACGAAAAGGCATAAATTAATGTATTTCAAATGTTGTTCCCCAAAATATATTTTGTGCGTCGGTTCGGCGTGGCTCGGTGGTCCAGGATGGCGTGGCGAAAACGTGACAAGAGCTTAGGTTATGTTTACGGTAATGGAAGTCCCTCGAAGTCAATACCTTCGTGGGATAGATCCGCGGGAAAGGAAAACCTGCAAAGTCAATACCTTTGCACGCAAGGGTCGGGACGTTGGGACGTCGGGAAGCCCACAGAGTCAATACCTCTGCAGGAGCAGGAGAGGAGAGTCTTACTAAGTCAGTACATTAGTTCGACTGACGAGAATTAAATTCGGAGCTCTTTATATACTTGTTTCTGCTTGGCAAGAACGGCTACATGCTGAACCATAGGCGTCTCTAAAACGGTGTTACTAGGGAACATCGTTTCAATGCTTCCAAATGTAGAGGGCGATGAATGTAAATAACGTCATTGCCAATTATTAATAAAATTATTTTCATATAAAGAACTTTGGATTTAATTTCTTTAACATCATATATTATTTTTTCATTAAAAGCAGAAGTGATTCAAGTTCAAAAAAGTGTCATTTTACTTCTTCGATATTGGACGTGTCAAACAAATCTTCTAGTAAAGACTAACTTAAGTTAATATCTATCATAACGTAAACAATATTCTAATAATATATTAGACTCAATGTTTTTAATCATAATCTTATAGTGTGTGATGGTGTTTATATTAAAAATTAAATCTTAAAAAAATCCCCCAGCAAATTGCAAAATCAAAACTAAAGTATTCATTATTTTCAAAGCGTAAGTCGTAAAATTTTGTTTCTTACGATAAATAAATATGTAAAATTTTGTTTAGAATCAAACTGTAATCTGATTTGTGACGGTTTTATTACCATTTACATGCATACAAAGTACTACACAATTTACTTCATAACCCTAATAGCTGAGTATTGTTACACGAACGTTCCATAAACTTACCCTTGGGACATTAGAAACGTCTCTGTCATGTTTCTTATTCTCCCTCAAACGTACCTAGGATGTTTCTGGCAATGACCATGTCATCATTTGTAACGTATTAGAGACGTTTCTCAGAGACGTTTGTGGAACATCCTGCGATGTTGCTCAAACATCTTAGGTAAGTTTTCTATACTATTGCTGGAACGTTCTAGAAATTACCTAAACGTTTTTTAGTAGGATAATCAAATCTATTGCTTTTTTCATAAATTTATTGGAAAAAAAAATATTTTTTGACACAAAAGATAAAAAATGTTAATTTTACGCTATTTCTTTCCGGAGCGCTCCACAACTAGTCATCTATTTTAATTTCCATTTCTTTTTTGTTTACCAATTTACCGAATCTGAAAATGTTTCAATTAAGTGATAATATAAACAATTGATATTAGGTTAAAATAATTACCCATAATGGTTTCAGCTATTTTTAACTTAGCGTCTTCTTTTTTTCCAGAGAATGAAAACTTACACAACTCGTTTCTTGAGGGGAACTATGCATCGTCTAATAAATTCATACACATTGGTACCTTGGTTTTCAAAATACAATACCTAAAATAGTTATTTTTAAAGTTAACAAAGAAATAATGACTAGAATGTATAAAAGCCACATTTTGTTAAACGAAATTAAGTTACCTTCTTCATTTTGGTTTGAATATCTCGCCCGTAAAACGATTGCTTTTGCATTGGACAAGCCTGATTAAATCTTGAGTTGGAAGTGATTTTTCATGTAGCTTTACGTACAAACTATACACGTCAACCCAGCCGCCTATTATCACTTTTAGTTTGTTTAAAAGTTTATAGAGAAGTTGTTTATTACTTTTAACCTTTTCCATACTTTATCATAAGCGAGGCGAAGCACCTTTTTATTGTCAACTGTCAACACTAATGAACTATCTGTCATATGTCAATATTGTCATTTGACGGTTGACGTGTTTGGTTAATACTCCGCGAACAAATCAAATATGAAGTTTATTCCTTTCCATCGAAAATATCGTTCCATCCATACAATTTGTGTAAATGGAACGATATTTTCATAAGTACTGCAGCTCAGTGCTACACTTTCAATGCAAAAAATAGATTCCATCACGAGGACTTCCTTCAATAGTGTATTTTTTTAGCTCGCGGAGGATTAACCGAACTCTCCTGCTGAGCCAGAAGGAAGGGTATATTCATCTCTTTCGTATTTGCTTCGCACTCTGTTTTGAAGGAACTATTAAAGATAAATTGGACCTGTAGCAGTTGTCTTGTGAAATTAAAATATTGTTAAAAATGTTCAAATTTAATATTGGAGTTAGATATGATTGTAAATTTCTGGTGATTGCAGTAATTTTATAATTTATTGATATTTCAAAATAATTTAAATGAAAATAGAATACCTAAAACATAATTACGATGTTTCTAAAACATTCTTGAGAAATTATTCTAGAAACGTTTCTTTAGAGACATCGTAGGGACGTAGCATTTATGTCAGAAATATAGAAACATACATGGAACCTAAATGGGATGTTTCTGGCAGATCGGTGTTATTAGGGAATATAAGAATAAGGATAGTAAGATTTTTAAAAATAAGTTCATCAATAATAAATGTTTGGTTCCAGAAATGTCCTTTAAACTACATAATTAAAACATGTCCTGGGTTTAGTAAATACATATTTCTAGATGTTCTTGTAGCAATCAAAAGGTGAATATTTCCAACAAATTAAGTCATACACATGATAAATATTATATCTATGACGAAAGCACGAAAATTAAACTTAAATTAACACTAAATGAAACTCAAAAACACTATTATAATGAGAATATTATCTAAAAAAGTTAAAAATCATAAACAAAAAATCCCGCCCAAAACAAACACATATAAATAAACAAACATCCTACTTATAGGTGACAAATGACAGGCGCGCAAAAATTAATTTTAATCGCGAATATTGGACTTTCTTGCTAAAACCAATTTGGATCTAGATGATTTGGCGGCTGTGGGTTTGCGTTGTCACTATTGTTAATACTGGTAATAAAAATAGTGTTATTAGGTATATTGAGACCGAATTGAAGCTTCCGTAACAATGGAATATTTGCCAATTACACGCCAACAAATTGCCATTAAGACGTTTATTTCAACATTAAGATGACAGCACATTGGGACCTCGTCAATATTCTGGTGAAATCGGGAAGTCTTTAGAAAAATGGGAAAGTCTTAAAATTGTAAATTTTACCCCAATAAAATGTGAGTTGCCAAATATAACTGTAATGTCTAGAGATTTAAGTTTTAATCAATCATATTTATATGACATTTGCAATGCAATATCAAGCGGCAATTTCTCATCAAATTTAGCACACTGTAATCCTGGAAAATTAGCGCACAATGGCAAATCGTGTTCATCGGCTCTATGCTCTAACGGAAAAGCCAACATCAAGCCTAACAGATATTACCGAATTCATAATTAAAATGTATGCCCCATTGTGGTTTGATATTAAACTAAATTTCACATCCACTAGTGATAGTTTGCATGTATTTAATACGATTGATCTGGAGATGATTTAAAAAGTATTATGGATACGGTAATCCAAACAAACGCGTATTTATATACCCCGAAAATATTATTTTCTGTATGCTTACAGATACTCGTGAATGGGTTCGAGAACTATCTCTACGAAGAATCTTAAAAGCTAGAGAAACCGAAAAGTAAGCACAGCAAAACGCAAGGTTTGATAGGTATTGTAAACTTAATTTTTATATTTTTAAGAAATATGCCCATTTCGGCCCAGCCTAATGTACAGGGTGGGGCATATTGGAGGGGAGTTTTTAGATCGGCTAGTAAATGCGAACGGGTGGAGGTAGAGAGCCGCGGTTGACATCGCTGGATTCAGGAAAGCTTACCATTTGTTATTCACAATGGTTATCTGGACAAGAGAGCATCGCGTGTTCGCAGTTGAAGAGTATTTAAAATCGGGCGAGTCCGTTATTGTTGCGGAGCGATAACGCTTCAATATCGGTCGCAACGGTTTAGTTCCTACCATGAACTTATAGGGGTGAAAGTAAAGGTCTTGGTGTAAAATCTTGCGAAGTGTTCGATTACTCATTCATACTGCTGCAGCCCGTTTTCGGACAGAACGCTGCGGACTTTGAGTTACTGCTTGTCTCACCTTTTCTACGGAAGCTGGTGTCCTTACACTTCGGGGACGACTTTTAGGTCTTGGATTAATTGCTGATGCCGTCGTTTTAAAATTATGTACCCACCTGTTGATTGTGTCACGTTTAGGAACTAAACCGTTACGAAGCGTTGTCGCTGCACAACAATAACGGACTCGCCCAATTTTAAATACTCCTCAACTGCGAACACGCGATGCTCTCTTGTCCAGATAACCATTGCGAATAACAAACGGTAAGCTTTTCTAAATCCAACAATGTCAACCGCGGCTCTCTACCCCCACCCGTTCGCGTTTACTAGCCGATCTAAAAACGCCCCTCCATTATGCCCCACCCTGTACATATTCATAAAAATATGCTAAACCATTGTAGACTATGAGCACAACTTTAACTTAATATGTTTTACTATCCATTTTTTATATAAACAAGTTATGTTGAATAGATTTATATTCGATCCCAAAAACTGTGACTAAATTTTTTGCACATCTTTTTGTTACACCCTGTAGAAACTTATTCTTTTTATACCTAATAACTTACTTATTATTTATTTATTGATTAGTCATAGATAATATATATTTAAACCTCGAAATAATGGTTACGTCATAGCGGTGTTCTTATTGGAATCGGGCTCTACATCACGCACACAGGATGATAGTTTAAACATCGATCCGAACGACGTTGAAGAAAAAAATAATTCACTTTAGCCTTCCAGGAAAAAAAGGACTATTAAATTAAGTTGGCGATCTTCATAGGGGAAATCATGTTAAAAAACGAAATTTTTGTCATAAATACGCTGGTAACTTGTTAAATAGTCAAGGTATTGTTAAGGAAAATGTTAAACATCAAAATTGTAGAGCATTTACTTCTCTCTAACTATTATTTCAGTAATTTTTTTGTTTGTTAAAATGTTTTTACCTGTGGTAAACGAATTTTTTTTTTTCATTTAATGCCTTTAAAATCAATAAGGGTTATATGGACAAAACTATTTAAGAGAAAAAGTTGATCAGACTTTGTTCCTCTAAACTAAAACTGAAACTTTTATCGAAATCATTTTGCTCTAAAAAAAATAAAGCATGCGAATTTTTTGTCATATAATGGCTGTAACTCGTTCAAAACACAAAAAAATTGTAAAAAAAAATTTAAATTTGATCTTCTACAACTTTTATTAAGGCTATGTTGCTAAATAAAAAATGATTAGGAAACCACCCCTATAGAGCAGTTCGTACTAGGAGTTCGAATGTGATCTTTTGGTTGGATACTCAGGAAACAGTCCCGAAATATCATCCTGTTTGAAATTTTTTGCGACCTCTATAAGCCGAATACATCTTTTTGGATTAACACTATCATACCGTCTAATTTCTACTCCCCTGTCAGTTTTTATTTAAACCCCTAATTCGTATTTAAATTATTTTCCTCATCATTTAAGAACTTTATAGTTTAAAGACCACTTGATTTTTTCAGGACTGATGATGGCCCAATTTAGCCGAAACATTTTAATAAAAAAAATGGTCACTTGGCCTTTGGATTTTACTGTATTTATAAATAACTATTACATACATTTTAAATGCCGGTTCTAAACAATATAAAATTTAAAAATAATTACTTACTTTTGACGTTTTATGTTACACCACTAGTATTCAAAGAAAATATGGGATCTAAGCAACGTACTTAACGACTGATTGTACGAAGAGACCTCTGACTTTCAGATTAAACTAACCTTTATAACCTTTCTTATCGACACGAAAATAATTCAATTTCATTTAGGTAAAAACTATTTTCTCAATGGAAAACTTTTACATACACAAATACATTCGAAAATTGTGAAAAATTCACTTACTAGTCTAATACTTAATAATAAGACCAGTTCTCTAAAGGGTGGGTCACTTAAAAGTTTTAAGTCCCTTATCTTGGTTATTGATTAAGATATCAGAATCAACTTTTTTTTTGTTGAAAGTTTGTGACACGTATTTTTTTACAATTAATTTAATTATTCTGCGACGTTATGACTTACTTCCAATTTTTCCGGAAAAAATAGTAAATCGCAATTATTTTATTGGAATCCCCAATTTTATTTACAATTTTAATTTTTCCGACTTTTTTGGGTATTAGTTGTATACAGGCCTGTTAGTATTTATCATTAAAAGTTTATGATTATTTATGATAGTTGTTGTTAAAACAAATGAGTGATGTTACAATAACAAGTTATAGAGGTAATTTTAAGAAACCCTCTTCAAAATCGTGCAGATGGTGTTACAAATTAAGTGCTAATTTTCTTATAGATTTTATCACCAAATTAATATGGGACCACCTCAGGGGTACCCCCTTGCTAACAAAAAAGAATCGTAGAAATCGGCTAAAATGGTAAAACATTATCGCCGAACAAACATAAAAAAATGAAGAGTTTGATGATTTTCTCATAGCCCCAATTATTAGATCTTGACTCAATGTATATGGAACCACACTTGAAGTACCTCCTTTCTAAAAAAAGCATCTTAGAAATCGGATATGGTGGTAAAGAATTATCGTTGAACATACATTAAAAAATTAAAAGTTTCATGGGTTTCTCATGAACCCAATTATTAGATCTTGACTAAATGTATATGGAACTTGAAGTACCCCCTTTCTAACAAACAAGATTCTTAGAAATCGGATATGGTGGTAAAAAATTATCGCTAAACATACATAAAAAAAATGAAGAGTTTGATACCCCCTTTCTAATAAAAAAAAGAATCTCAGAAATCGGATGAGATGGTAAAGAATTATTGCTGAACATTAATACAAAATGAAGAATTTGATGATTTTCTTATAGACCCAATTATATATTTTATTGACTTTTCTATTGGATATTGTAGTTTACCTAAGTATTTACTTAATGGTCTAAGATCTCAAGTAAGGTCGACCTTTACAAATCTGCATGGTTTTTGAAGATGGAAGAGGAAAAAGGAAGGCGTAGGAAGGGAGAAGAGGAGGAAAAGAAAAGGCGTAAAAAGGAAGAATAGGAGGAAAAGAAAAGGCGTAAAAAGGAAGAAGAGGAGGAAAAGGAAAAGCGTAGGAAGGAAGAAGATGAGGAAAAGAAAAGGCGTAGGAAGGAAGAAGAGGAGGAAAAGGAAAGGCGTAGAAAGGAAGAAGAGGAGGAAAAGGAAAGTCGTAGGAAGGAAAAGGAGGAAAGGCGTAGGAAGGCAGAGGTAGAAATTATAAAGGGTTTGCTACAAATCCAGGAAACCTTTAAGCAAGAGGTAAGTCAGCTTAAAATTAAAGTATATCTGTTAGAGCAACAACAAGGGCATCTAAAACCTAATTTAGAGAAACATCAAGATAATTTGAAAGATAACTTAGAATAACAAGAACAGGCTAGAGTAGAGCTGGAAAGGCAAATTAGAGCTAAAAAGGGTGAGTTAGAAAAAAGAATTCACAGACAAGCTTCAGTAAACAGCATTGAAGCTGCAAATACTACTACCTTGTCTACATTTATAACCAAACCAAGCCACATTCTAATCCCAGTTTCACAAAACTATACTAGCAAGACCCTTAAGCCACCCACGTTTGACGGTCAGACAACATGGGAATCATATCGACTCCAATTTGAAGCTGCAGCTGGAGCCGTTGGCTGGACCGAGAAAGAGATGGCGGCTTTATTAATAGTGTCACTGCGAGGCCAGGCTGCAACCGTTATACAGTTACTTCCTCAAGAGGAACCCAGTTATTCATCTTTCGTCCAAACTTTGACGACAAGATATGGCCAGCAGCATTTGCAACGGGTATTCCAAAGCCAGCTAAAGGTTCGTAGTCAAAAACATAATGAGAGTCTACAGGAATTCGAGGCTGATATAAGAAGACTAATTCAGCTGGCCTATCCATCGGTGCCGAAAGATTTCCAAGAACAACTCGGAATACAAGCATTCAATGATGGACTACAAGATGTAGAAATGCAGCATGTCCTTCGCCTACAACATCAGAAGACGCTGAGGGAGAAACTGATTGCATCCCAGAAATATGAAGCGGTAAAACTCCTATCCAGATCTTCTCGAGCAAAAGTGAGGAAAAATAAATCCCAATACTAATGCTATTTTCCAAATCTTAAATATCCTACGAAATATGCAAAGAAACAGCCAACATGGAAGAAGGAGATGCTTCAATTGTGGAAAAGTCGGACACGTTTAAAGAACCTGTATATAGATCAATCTTTTCAAGCCCATCACTAAGACCAACAAGAATTAATTACAGCAGCTATGCGTCCCGAAGAAGCCAATCACCCACAACGAGCCGGCTTTCTAACAATAACCAGAAAGTAGAGCATCGATGAGGTCTCCATAGCAACGCAGGCATTCTTTTCGGGCAACCCCGTTTAGAGAAACAATGCTGGTATAGTAAAAGGCTCGAAGAACGAGAAGAACTGGTTAATAAAGTTACTCTTTGGGCCACCACCATCAAGCCAGAGGGCGACGAAGAAGAAATCATCCTTGAAAGTCTGAGGCAAGGACAGAAGAGACAATGACTTAAAGGTTGTCCGAGAATGGCTCAAAAATAAAGTAACACCTACTTGGCTAGAGATAGCCAAATACAGTAGAACTATAAAAGGCTACTGAACCCAGTGGGATTCCCTGTATCTTCACGATGGCCTATTGCACCGGAAGTGGGAGAGCCCCGATGGAGTACATGTTGTCCGCCAAGTGATACTGCCGAGGTCACAGGTGAGAAAAGTATTGGAGGAGCTTCATAGCAGCCGTTCAGGAGGACACTTTGATACTAAAAGGATACTGGCAGGAGTTCGGGAAAGACTTTATTGGGTCAATTGTCGACGGGATGTAGCGAATTGGTGTAAAAAATGTGATGTATGCAATGGCAGGACAAAGGACTATGGGTTCGCTCGGGAACGACTGAAAGCCCACACCGATAAAGCAGAAACTAGAATCGACAGGCGTGCCACAGATACACATTTTGAGAGGGGCGACAAGGTATGCGCAACGGAACTGGGAAGGCCCCTACTCCGTCCTTAAGGAAAATCAACAACCTGATCTGCCGGATTCAACTGTTAGCGGAAAGTAAATTCAACGTAGTTCACATTGGGAAGATAG